AAAGGCCCATTCCTGGTGCTAGTCTTCACTTAGAATTGTGTCGGACTTGGAAGCGAAAGATGACTCCTATTTTGTCACAGAAATACTTGTGGACGATAGACCTCTCTACACACACCCACAGTCCGTCCCTCTGGTATTTCTCCATCAGAGGTTCCAGGTTGTCACGGTACTCTTCTATATCTAAGTATTCTTCCCTCATCACGATAAATATCATTCCACCTGTAAGTTTTAAGTTTATTATTGTTTTGTTTTTAAATCAAAAGGATTGGAAACAAGTTCGTTTAACTTACGAGTTCCTCTCCTTATGGAGGTTATAGTTCATTGTTTATTATGTTCCCCAAACGAAGTTGGGGAACATTTTGTTTTTACTCTATTTCTTCTTCTTCTTCTTCTTCTTCTTCTTCTTCTTCTTCTTCTTCTTCTTCCTGGGAAAATTTTTGTACTCGAGTGATCTTGTAAACTACACATCCGATTAAGGTAAAATGTTTTTAGGGTCAGTAGACATGTTATGTAGATTTGCCGAACAAAGGTCATTTTGCGCGCACGTGCTTGCAAGAGCGCGCACGTGCAACGCATGAAATGACCGATTTAATTGATATAGGCGTAATTTTTTACATTTTTGAGGAAATGCTTTGAAACTCATAATGTAAGGATATATTAGTGGCATAGACAATACGATATGGTCAAAATAGCAAGATCTCACGCGCATGCACGTGCGCTTCGCTCTGATTGGCTGAGACTAAAGTCCCTATATCTTTCTTATTTTTTGACGAAATCCTATGAAATTTTGAACATAGTCATGCATTAAGATATCCTACAACATAATATATAGCAATTATCATGAAAACACGTGCATGCACGTGCGCTGCAATCTGATTGGCTTAAACTTTAGATAGCTATAACTCCCTTGGTTTTCAACCAAACAAGATGGGATTTGGAACATAGACAGATATAATGAACTTCTACAAGAAGGTGTGGTCACCATGCACATGCATACATGTGTGTGTACGTGCGTTGTAATCTGATTGGCTGAAACATTAAACAGCCATAACTCCCTTGGAATTCAACCAAACGGGGTGGGATTTAGAACATAGATAGATGTAATGGACTTCTACAAGAAGATATGGTTACCATGCTCATGTATGCACGTGCGTGCATGTGAAATGAGTTAAATCAAAAATACACTTGAATGAGCGTATTTTTTAATACTTTTGGATGAAATACTTTAATATTTAGCATATTAAATATATAGATTGTGTAGACAAGATGATATGGTCATTATGCACATGCATTTACATGCGCACGCGTGCAATGCTAAAATTTGAATGAACTTGGCGTTGTTAAAGTCTCAAATGCATAGATTTTGTCCTATTTAATGAAGCTCACAGTGAATATGGCACCAAAAGGGAGTTGGGGAGCGTTTGGGAACATCTGTAACGGTCCCCGTTACAATTAGCACTAGTTATAGTTTATTATTAATTCTATTTCTGCTTTACTTTGTGGTTTGAATTAGAATCTGTGTCTGTATGATAGATTTTATTGATCATAATAAGTATTTTACACTTCCAAGCTGATTGACTTTTTCAAACTGGTATTCAACTTTATTTTTTAAAATTATAACATTGTATAAATGTTTCTGAAACGTAAGGAATTATTGTTAATATTTGTATATAGTTAACCTGGTTTTGTGATTCTGATCAGTTCTAGCAGTGCACCTGAAGGTATATGACCACTTCCGAACCATCCCGAACAAACAACACATGGGTATGTACCTAAAAATTAAAGACAACACAAAGTTTAGACATTTTTGACGATGTCATTTATATAAAATTTACATTCACCTTTTAGACAGTTTTATGGGAAGGTTGGGTTTATGAATTTTACCGTTACTGAATGTATTTTACCTTTACTGATGTTTGGGTTTATGTATTTTACCGTTACTTATGTTAAGGTTTATGTATTTTACCGTTACTGATGTTCGGGTTTATGTATTTTACCTTTACTGATGTTTGGGTTTATGTATTTTACCGTTACTGATGTTTGGGTTTATGTATTTTACCGTTACTGATGTTCGGGTTTATGTATTTTACCGTTACTTATGTTAAGGTTTATGTATTTTACCGTTACTGATGTTCGGGTTTATGTATTTTACCTTTACTGATGTTTGGGTTTATGTATTTTACCGTTACTGATGTTTGGGTTTATGTATTTTACCGTTACTGATGTTTGGGTTTATGTATTTTACCTTTACTGATGTTTGGGTTTATGTATTTTACCGTTATGATGTTTGGGTTTATGTATTTTACCTTTACTGATGTTTGGGTTTATGTATTTTACCTTTACTAATGTTTGGGTTTATGTATTTTACCGTTACTGATGTTCGGGTTTATGTATTTTACCTTTACTGATGTTTGGGTTTATGTATTTTACCGTTACTGATGTTCGGGTTTATGTATTTTACCTTTACTGATGTTTGGGTTTATGTATTTTACCGTTACTGATGTTTGGGTTAATGTATTTTACCGTTACTGATGTTCGGGTTTATGTATTTTACCGTTACTGATGTTTGGTTTATGTATTTTACCGTTACTAATGTTTGGGTTTATGTATTTTACCGTTACTGATGTTTGGGTTTATGTATTTTACCGTTACTTATGTTTGGGTTTATGTTTTTTACTGTTACTGATGTTTGGGTTTATGTATTTTACCGTTACTTATGTTTGGGTTTATGTATTTTACCGTTACTTATGTTAAGGTTTATGTATTTTACCGTTACTGATGTTTGGGTTTATGTATTTTACCGTTACTTATGTTAAGGTTTATGTATTTTACCGTTACTGATGTTTGGGTTTATGTATTTTACCGTTACTGATGTTTGGGTTTATGTTTTTTACCGTTACTGATGTTTGGAGAAGGCTCTTTAGACAGAAACTCGCAGTAAAACTTCTGGTAGATGTTTTTTGCCCGTGCATTACGTAACATGTTTTCACTGGGATCCAAAGCGTCAAGTTGTTTGAAACCTTTCTTGACCAACTGTAAATTTAAAGAAGGGGCATTTTTTTTTAATATAGAGATATCTCCTGACCGAATACTTAAACTTAGTATTGTTTAACGATAGCTAAATAGGTGTGGAAGAATAAATAAATCAATTTGTACACTCAAATCTTTCGCTTGTCCTATTGCATTTACAATCTAGACAAAATTTTGTAATGGACAAACAATTTGAGCTATTTTAAACGAGAAAAATGCTCACCATAACCAAAGTTATTTACTCACTGGAAGAAAACAACTATAAATTTGATTGATTGTTTATAAGAAGTTTTACGTCCTATTTGAGAAAGTTTCACTCATTCAGAAACGTCGCCTTATATGGATGAAAGGCTTCAAATTTTGAACTTAACGCAATACCCTTTTCAACATCAGTCAAAATCAATGGTATCAAAATATTTTCAACACTTCCCAGAGTTTTTAAACAGCTTCCTTTTTAATAAAAATGGAAGTAATCAATAAATATACCTTGGTCATTGCCATCTGGAATTTTGAAGAAAAAAACCATTTCGACTGTACACACTAGTACTCCAATATTGAGATTTAAAAGATGTGTGAATTTCCGAATAACGATTTGTATGCATCCAATAATCTGTTGGAATTTTTACGGGTAATTATTGCGCCCCGTTATTAGCAGACGTTATGTTACCTCTTCAGCTACTTCCCCCCTACCTGCTGCCACGTCCAGAATTTGAACTGTATCTTTGTTGCTTGGAAAGCTTCGGTCAGCTGCTTCAGCAGCGTATAGTGGCCCTTAGTATCTACCAGGCTGCAGGTGCTGAAACGATAAAGACCCTTGATATAATCTGTTTTAAGGAACAACATCTTTTTTCTTACATGAATTTAAAAAGTTATTTAAGAAGGTTTATTACAACACTTTTTGATGACGTACTACATTAAAAAATAAACCTCCATTGTTTCGACAGTTTTCCTCTGGGAACAAATTGTTACAGGTACCTCTATAATATGATCCTGGGGCCCGTTTCACAATGCCTACTAGGACTAAGTTCTATCTTTGGAAAGAACTTTTTCCTAAGTTCATTACTTATCCGTTTCACTAACCTCGTCTTATCTTAGGATATTCCTAAGTTATGTCGTAACTTTAGGGTAAATCGATGACTTAGGAAGAAACTAAATATTGCGGCTGCATATCCAAGACTTTTTATGGAGAGAAAGGATGTTGGAAGAGAAATTCCAATGGACTACTAGTATATGAATGATTGTGTTTTCTACAGGATAAAACTGCTGTCCTTTGCATGGAATTATTAGGATTTCAATAATTAGCAAACATGTGTCAAAATTAGTCCAAGGTTTATCAAAATTTCCGTTCACAAAACTGGAGCTGGCGAAATAGACGGTACACATGCTGGAATAATTCCCCATCATTTGAGGAGCACGCAAAACATAAAAAAGCACACGATTTGATACATTATGAATCATACATGCATGTATACATTATGCTTTTATCTACATGCACATGTATATCGTATATATTATTACTAGTATTTTATTTGATATTAGATTAGAATTTAAAAATATTATATTAAAAATAAACGGAAACTCTTGTTCGCTTTTTATAAGTACTTGTACATGATTCTTGACGGACCCCTGAACCAAGCTAACGATATATATTGTTGATGTTTCTCCCAAGAATGGTTGCATCTAATCTCCTCTAGGGTGTTATTATTGAGGGGACACAAGCATAACGCAGTTTTGTTGTCTATGATATTCTATACATCGGTAAAATTATTATAACCTCCCTCCCGTGTTCCTCCAGTTCCTACGGCCATGAGATTATAACCAGTTTCCCTGCTTAAGAAAAAATATAGCTATGCATGAGATTTAAATAGATTTCCTTTTTTTAACTTCTTTTAGTATTTTCATATCTGTAGTCGCGAATTTGAGATTTTTTTCTGGTATGGCATTCTTATTATATATGAGAAAGCTTTTCACAGCACGAACAACTAACACTGAGTAATCATTTTTAAAATGCCCTCACATGTGCTAGGAAGCAATCATTTTTGAATTTCAATTAAAAGTAGATACCCTATAAAAAGCAAAATAAATAAACGTATAACACTTTGAACAAATGTTTAAAAATACAAAAATCGTGTGCCCGGAAGGGAAGAGGGCATGAAAGCTTGTGTCTCACAATGTGAATGCTTAGTTCTAGCAGCATGCTTTGCAAAGTTAAAACATACTTCTGTCCAAGTCCTTTGAAAGTGGGGGTAATCCGCAATCCCCTCGCCCCTCCCTTTTTGAAGCTAAAATATAATTCATACTGACATACTGAGAGTTGTAGAGCGGAGAAGTTATACTACGATCCTTGTAGTTAGAGGTCCAACCGATTTTGTGCAAGCGATTTCTCAGAGATGGCTCGTCCGATTTATACCAATCTTTCAGATCTGAAAGATAATCAAATGATCTTGATAGGTTTTTTTGCTTTTTGATGATCTCACTTCCGGTCGTGAGATATTGACGATTTTCTGATTTTCAGAGGGTCGGCTTGTCCGGGAAACTCCTCCGAAACGACTCATGCAAGATATCGACTTAAGATTTTCAGTGAAAATAGAGGAAGGTTTGGTGAGTTGTAATTGGGTCTTCAAATCTTTCTAGAGCAAAAGGCGCCGGAGCTCGGTAGGGCCCGAAAAAATATCTCAGAAATATCTCACAAAATTTGACACATTTTGTTTCATATCTTCATACCCGTTCATAATTTGTTAAAACATATTGAAGACAAAATGTGCAAAATTACAAGACCTTTCATTTGGTACTAAGAAAATGGGGCTGACCCCTCAAAATAGGGGCTCAGAGGGGCTAAAAGTCTTTTATCTATAACTCTCTAATGATCAATATTTTGTTATACGTTACTGAAGCAAAAGTATTCATCTTAACAATTTACAATATTATATGATAAAATTTTGATCATATGTTACGTAATTAGGGGTCACAAGGGGCCAGAATGTCAAATCTTTGACACTTTATATCTCAAAAACGGGGAATATTTTGACAAGCAATATTGAACAAAAGATGATCAGAATAATGTTCTAAACAATATGCATACTTTGAATTTTTGTAAAACGACCCCATTAAGGACTTGTAGGGGTGGCCCCTAAATATTTCCATTTAGTATATCTCAAGAACGGAAAGAAATCTCTGAATAAATACTGAACAAAAAATCTTCAAAATCACAAGACCTTTCATTTGATATCACGAAAATTGGACTGACCCCTCAAATTAGGGGCTGAGAGGGGCCAAAAGTCTTTTATCTATAACTCACTAATGATCAATATTTTGTTATACATCACTGAAGCAAAAGTATTCATCTTAACAACTTGCAACAATATATGATAATATTTTGATCATATTTTACGTAATTAGGGGTCACAAGGGGCCAGAATGTCAAATCTTTGACGCTTTATATCTCAAAAAGGGGGAATATTTTGAAAAGCAATATTGAACAAAAGATGGTCAGAATAATGTTCTAAACAATATGCATACTTTGAATTTTTGTAAAACGATCCCATTAAGGACTTGTAGGGGTGGCCCCTAAATATTTCCAGTTCGTATATCTCCAAAACGGAAAGAAATCTCTGAATAAATACTGAACAAGAAATCTTCAAAATCACAAGACCTTTCATTTGATACCAAGAAAATGGGGCTGACCCCTCAAATTAGGGGCTGAGAGGGGCCAAAAGTCTTTTATCTATAACTCTCTAATGATCAATATTTTGTTATACATCACTGAAGCAAAAGTATTCATCTTAACAACTTGCAATATTATATGATAAAATTTTGATCATATGTTACGTAATTAGGGGTCACAAGGGGCCAGAATGTCAAATCTTTGACACTTTATATCTCAAAAAGGGGGAATATTTTGATAAGCAATATTGAATAAAAGATGGTCAGAATAATGTTCTAAACAATTTGCATACTTTGAATTTTTGTAAAACGGCCCCATTAAGGACTTGTAGGAGTGGCCCCTAAATATTTCCATTTAGTATATCTCCAGAACAAAAAGGAATATCTGAATGAATACTGAACAAAAAATCTTCGAAATCATAAGACCTTCATTTGATACTAAGAAAATGGGGCTGACCCCTCAAATTAGGGGCTGAGAGGGGCCAAAAGTCTTTTATCTATAACTCTCTAATGATCAATATTTTGTTATACATCACTGAAGCAAAAGTATTCATCTTAACAACTTGCAACAATATATGATAAAATTTTGATCATATGTTACGTAATTAGGGGTCACAAGGGGCCAGAATGTCAAATCTTTGACGCTTTATATCTCAAAAAGGGGGAATATTTTGATAAGCAATATTGAATAAAAGATGATCAGAATAATGTTCTAAACAATATGCATACTTTGAATTTTTGTAAATCGGTCCCATTAAGGATTTGTAGGAGTGGCCCCTAAATATTTCCATTTAGTATATCTCCAGAAAAAAAAATCTCTAAATAAATACTGAACAAAAAATCTTCAAAATCACAAGACCTTTCATTTGATTCCAAGAAAATAGGGCTGACCCCTCAAATGAGGGGCTCAGAGGGGCCAAAAGTCTTTTATCTATAACTCTCTAATGATCAATATTTTGTTATACATCACTGAAGCAAAAGTATTCATCTTAACAATTTGCAACAATATATGATAAAATTTTGATCATAAGTTAGGTAGTTAGGGGTAGCAATGGACCAAAATTCTATAATCTTTATGCTTTACGTCTAGAAAAGGGGTAGTATTTTTATAAGCATATAGAACAAAAGATGTTCAGAATATCGTGATAAAAATCAGAAACTTTACATTTAATGAGGAAAAAGGTAATGTCATTCTCTTTTAACTAATATCTCAGTCAAAATCATATCTCATCATATCGAGAAATTCAACGGAAGACCTACTCGTTGCTCGCAACGAGATCTCATCTAGTTATTATTATGTTCCCCAAACGAAGTTTGGGAACATATTGTTTTTACTTTTTCTGAATTTTTTCTTTGTTCTCCGGTACTTTTTTGTCCGCGAGTGTTCTCGTAAACTACTCATCCGATCTAGGTGAAACCTTTTTAGGGTCACTAGGTATGTTATGTAGATGTGCGGAACGAAGGTCATTTTGCGCGCACGTGCGTGCAGGTGCGCGCACGTGTAACACTTGAAATGATCAATATAATAGATTTAGCCGTAACTTTTTAAATATTGGATGAAATGCTTTGAAACTCATAATATAAGGATATAATAGTAGTATAGACATGATGACATGGTCAAAATAGCAAGATCTCACGCGCATGCAGGTGCCCTTCGCTGCGATTGGCTGAAACTTAAAGTCTAAATATCTATTTTGTTTTCTGACAAAATCCTTTGAAATTTTGAACATAGTCTTACATTATGAAGATCTACAGCATGATATATAAGAATAATCGTGAACGCACGCACATGCACGTGTGCTGCAATCTGATTGGCTAAAACTTTAAATGCCTACAACTTTCTTGGTTCTCAATAATACAGGGTGAAATTTCAAATATGAATAGATATAATGATTGCCTACATTATACTACTATCAAAAGTAAATATATGGACGTGCATGCACATGCGACCGCACACAATGTATTAAAAGACAGCATACTTGAGTGTTTGATGTTCATGCAGAATTAAGAACTTCTAAATGTCAAGACATGTAACATACTGAAGCATGCAGATCTTTTTACCCTTGACCTTGAAACTTAGGTCAAGGTCACTGGTAACCTGAATAAAA